TGGTGTTGAATAGCTTTATATCATCAGTGAAGAGAACACAGTTTAAACACACTCTTAATATGAGAACACACTCTTAATATGATCACAGATCACAATATATTAGTCTGCAGGCTATTTATCAACTTTTCCTTGCTATTAAGTGCCTTTCTCAATCGTATTGGATGAGAAACGGTACAGTATTATTTAAGGGGTGAGAGTCGAGGCAAGGAAATTTTCACAGGAAGGATTGGCTAAAGTGTTACATCCCACCCCTTCCCATGACAGGCATCGATGAATTGAGTGACAAAGCCCCTTTGAGCCACTGAGGGGCAGTCAAGCACCGTCCCTGAAGGGTTTGAGATGGGGAGGGGTAGCACCCAAAAGCAACCAAGAAGACAACTGGAACTGCCGCTTCCTTTGAAGACTTTTTTGAAGACTTTTGCAAATTTCCTGCGGTGGAGAAATCAGATTTATTCCAGCAGAGGCTGTTGCTGCCGTGGAGGTTTATTTCTGATGCTTCTCTTCGTTTACAAGGAAGTTGTGGCTTCAAGCAACAGTCCGCCTTAACCTAGAAAAGAGGCTCTTTGGTCAATCCAGGGTGAGGGTTAGGCGTTAGAAGGATGGGCTAGATGCCCTCAAGGCTACCTTCCAACCTGGATATCTATAGAGATCCTCAGTCATCCAGGTCATGGTTGTCCCCAAGGTGCTTTTTATCAAAAAGCAACTGGACTTCTTTTTTTTTTTTTTTGTCTTGAAGACGTTTCGCCTCTCATCCAAGAAGCTTCATCAGCTCTTGACTGGGGGGAGAATGGAAGGATTTATAGGAACCGAGGAAGCTTCTTGGATGAGAAGCGAAACGTCCTCAGGGAAAAACCAAGAGAGCCCAGATGCCTTTTGACAAAGCACCTTAGGGGGGCTTCCTACCTGGATCCGGGCAGGATGCATGAATCCCATTGCTAGCAGAGAAGCCACTGCCCCCAAGAGCTTGCAGTCTAAGAGCCTCTTGACCAGAGGAGAGGTGGGGAAGGGGGTCTTGATTTCGGCAAAAGGGGTCAGTCTGGAGGGCCAGGCCAGGAGGGAAGGGGCAGAGGGTGGAGGCCTCGGGAGTGGAAGGCTTTGGGTCCAGCTGTCCTCACCGGAGTCGAGTCCAAGACAAACTGGCTCATCAGAACCGACAGGGGGTCCCTTCCCTGCCTGGTACCAATGCTCAGAATGGGGAGGGGGCTTTGGACCCCCGAGGGAGAGAAAGTGGGGAGTGTGGGGGGGGGGGGAAGAGAGCAATTTCCAGGTCTGGGGGGCAGCGGGCGGGCAGCCTTTAACCGGCCACAGATAAGAAGTGAAAAAGCTGGACAGGAAGTCTGGAGAAGTGGAAACCCAATCAGCCAGGAAAGGAATCAAATTCATCGTGGACTCCGCTGTACCGGCCCCCCACCACCATCCGCTGCCCCCCCCCCCCGAAACAGATTCATTTCAGAGGCATAAATGCTTCCAGGTTGCAAGGGAGATGCCATAGGTCAAAAGAGCAGGTGGGCTGGGCTCTGGATTGGGGTAGGTGGGGGGGGGCGTATGACCAGTGCTACCCACCCTCCACTGAGCCGTGCATTAGGGGACCAGACCTCCTGCATCACGGCTGTCTTGGCCGATATTGCTTAACGGTGGTTTGTCCCAGGCATCAAGCCTTGAAATGGGGCTTGCCACCCCTGGGCTTGGGCTCAAGCTACGGACTGACCATCAACCAGCTCAGGGGGGGGGGGGGTGTCAGTTCTGGCTGCCCGTGGGTTGGAAGAGGCCCCTATGGGATGGGGAGCCCCACAGGGAGCTGCGGTCAAGGCCAGAACATGGCTGCCCCCCCCACCTCCTCAAATCATACCAGATCCTGGCTTAAACATGGCCTGATTGCGCAAGGGAGTGGGTCTCCCCAATCCAGGTTGGATTCTCATTGGGACAACAAAGTTGCTGGGTGTTCCTGCCCCCCCCCCCCCCCGCATCCACTTTCTGGGGGAGGGGTGGTGGTGAGGGGAATAAAAGCAGGCAGGTTAACTCGAGCAGCTGCAAGGCAGCAATTTAGCGTATGGGATCATTTACCTGATTAGAGAGTTTATTTTATAGAAATTGCTTCAGAATGGGTCGGCGTCCGGGGAGGGCGCTTGGCGAAGGCGTCAGTCCCTCGATATGGGGGTGGGGGTGAGCCCCAGCCACCAGGAAAGCCGTCCTCGCCCGCTTGCTTCAGAGGCACAAGAGATCGTGCCCCTTAATTCGACGCGGATGAAGATGTCTTGCCAGGGGAAGAAGCCCCGGAAAGTGGCCCGCCGGGAGTTTCCTGCTACTCGCCCAGGGGAAAAAGGTGGATGGGATGCTCTCGATAGCCTCTTGGAAGTCAGGTGTGGCAGGTGAACTTGCAAGTAAAGGCTCCCTCCTAGATGGCTGTTAAAGTCGGAGGGGGAAGGGCCCCTCCATTCCTGCCACTTTCACCACCGGTGCTCCACGGTTATCATGGCCGAGCCTTCCCATTGGCACGGTTGATGGACAGGGGAAAGCAGAGTTGGCAGCTTCAAGGGGGCAAGATTTAACCCCCTCCCCTTAAAAGGTGCCTCTCCATCGGCGAGTTTGAGCTGTGTAGGAATGGAAAGGGGAACGGTGGGAAGAGTTGGAGTTAATGCCTGTGGCCAACGGTCAAGGAAGGCTCCCATGTTTAGCCCCAAAAGGTGGTTTTTGAACAAGCGACGTCTATGGCTTTGGTAGCCCTGAAACGGCCATTCTCTGCCGCGCAGCTTCTATGGCTGCTGCCCCGTTGATGCCAGCTGGTTTTGTACCCCCGGTTTATACTTCCAATCTGCACTGGAAAGAGTTGGGACATTCTTGGAAATTAATCGAAAGGGAAGAAGCAAGGAAGGAATATAAGAACAATGAAAAGGTTAGGACTCTCTCATTCTCTCTGTGCTGGCCCCTAACTTCCTGGGTAGGCCCCACCCACCTTTTGTCTGTCTGTCTGTCTATATCTATCCATCCCTCCATCCATCTCTATGTATCTATCCTACCCATCCATCGATCCAGTCTTGTCTATCCATCCATCCATCCATCCAGTTGTCTATCCATCCATCTATCCATCTCTATGTATCTATCCTATCCATTCATCCAGTCTTGTCTATCCATCCATCAATCCATCCATCCACTCTTGTCTGTCTGTCCATCCATCCATCCATCCATCCATGTCTATCCATGCATCCAGTCTTGTCTGTCTATCCATCCATCCAGTTGTCTGTCCATCCATCCATCCATCCATGTCTATCCATCCATCCAGTTGTCTGTCCATCCATCCATCCATCCATGTCTATCCATCCATCCAGTTGTCTGTCCATCCATCCATCCATCCATGTCTATCCATCCATCCAGTCCTGTCTGTCTATCCATCCATCCAGTTGTCTGTCCATCCATCCATCCATCCAGTCTTGTCTGTCTATCCATCCATCCAGTTGTCTGTCCATCCAGTCGTCTCTGTCTGTCCGTCCGTCTGTCCATCTATCCACCCAGTCTTGTCTATCTATCCATCCACTACTCAACCACCCATCTACATATCATTTATCCCTTCACACACACACACACACACACTTATGCACACACAAATACAGAGGGAGATTTTAATGCGGGAAGTTCTCCCTCATTTGCATGTGTTTTGCGCCTGGCACCACCAAGGGGTGCCGAGGTCAATTGAAACTCAAGAAAAAGAGGAGAAATTTTATGCAAAACTGTTGATTGCATTTGTATGTAATGAAACCATCCAATATTCATCCGCCTCTGGGCGCTAATCGGGAAGGAGAACCGGAGGACCAGAGAGTGGCCGGGAAGCTGTAATGAGCTTCTGTAGTGATTAAAAAAAAAAGAAAAAAAAGAGCAGCACTTCAGCCCGCCGACAATCCAGCCAGAAAGCGCCTCTAATCAACACTGAATTTCGGAGGCAAAGCGATTATGCCGCTGAGCGCGTCTCCCCCCCCCCCTCTGCTCGGCACCCTGTCGAAGAGGGCTGCGCGCCTGGTTAAACCCGGCTTGCCAACCTCGCACAGCAGCGCTCCTTATGACAGGAGGCGGCACGAAAAAAGCACAATCAGGGAGCCAGGCGCCTCCGTCCTTCGCACAAAAGCAATCCAGCCCCTCCCTCCACCCCAAAAAAAAAACCAACAACAACCCCGAGGTTCAAAAGAGGAGCAATCACCTCTCTTTTGAACTTCCAACGTTGGCTTGAGGTGGCCTGCGGTCTTTCCATCCAGGCCCAGATGGGTGTTTTTGTTTTTTTCCCCAAGCATTGGGGTTTTCTGCCCACGTCTTTTCTCTCGCGCACAAAGCGGGCTTAAAAAAAAAAGGGGATTGGCAGGAGCGAAGAAACCGGCGCTTCTGTCCTTTGCAAACAGGCTGGCTGTTTTCAATGCCTGGACTCGATTTGTTTAAAGCTAAACTATCACCAACCACCCCCACACCCAAAAAAAAAAAAAGCCCAATTCTGCAATCAGGGCTGCAGCACAGGCGCCATCAGTCGAAAAAGAAGGGGATACGACTCATTGTAAACAAGTGAGTTTGCCACTTCGGGAGAGACGACGTGCCCATTTCCATGCACTCTGATGTGGCTCAAAAATGAGGCGTTCAACAAGCAGCCCTCAGATCATTCGGACTTGCTTTATTTAATAACACAAAATTCCTGACCGATTTATGAAGTCCCCCCCCCACCCCAGCATCCTCTGTTCCTTCAAAGTCAGGCACCACAGGCCATTTAATCGATGATTGTTCTGTGATTATTCTTCTTCCAAAATGGCTTCTGGGTCTGTGGCACCAAAGCCACGCTGTGCTCTCCACGACGGAGCTGAGATGACAACTGTCGGGGAGCCAAAGGCTCTTCCCACCCCACCTCCAGGCGCAGCCCCCTTCCTCGAGTCCTGAGCTTTGATTCGCTGCCCAAAGTTGCTTCCTGCAGTTGAAAAATCATTACTGACCCGTTTTAGCCAGAAGAAAGCAGCTTGCGGTGACCTCTGTGTGTGTACGAGAGAGAGAGAAAGAGAGAGAGGGAGGGAGAGAGAGAGAGAGAGAGACAGACAGACAGACTCTAGACAAGCAGCTCCTTCATCTTTGCTGCCAATAGCTTGTCCATTTCCTCTGTGGCATCTTCAGTCATTTGCTGAATCTGTGGCAAATTGAGAAAAAGAACACTTTGTGAATTCTTTTTAGAAAAAAACACCAGCAGGTAACAAATGGCAACAATTGCACTGGGATTTTCGTCAAAAGCATGAGAAATGTAGGGACGTCCATCATCATGTACTTTTAATGACCCCCATCATCCCTTTGCGGGGTGGAGTCTGCGCAACTGAATGGAGCTGAGTCTTTGAATGGCCGGAGGCCTTTCCTGTCGCCAATGCAGAGTTTTGTTCAGCAGACAGGTTCTCATCATGCCGAGAGAGAGAAATATCCGCCTCTACCTGGGATCGAACTCAACAGATTGCGAGGCAGGAGCTCCACCTCTAGGCCACACCGCACCACTCAAATGTAGGGACGTCCCTCTGGGTCAAAAAAATAAAGGCCAGCGACCGAATGAGGACACGGCTGTCCAGAGGCAGGGAGACCTCTGAGGTGAGGTGCCAAATTTCTGTGTTCTGCGAGGGGGGGGGGGGGCTGTTAGATCAGGACAGGACAGCCTAGTGGTCAGCACCAAACTGTAGCCTCCCAATCCCTCAGTACCTGCTTCTCTATCAATCGGATGGTGTCTTCCGACGTGGTTCCTTTGGCTCTCTTCACCTGATTCATGGCCCCGGTGCGGACTTTACGCAGGGACTCCTTGGCCTTGTTAGTGAGCTGCTTGGCGACCGTGACCAAGTTCTCCCTGTGCTCACGGGTGATTCTGGTGGGAGAAAAGCGAAGGAGAAAAAGACCCTCTTGGCACGGAGCCTAAACCTTTCACAGCACGGCAGAGCCATGCATGAAAGTGCCCAGAGATGATATCAGAGTTCAGGATTAATTGAATAGATTAACTTGTTTCTTTTTTTTTACTTTCAGAATTGTAAATAAGCTTTATGAAATGAAGAGGTGGAAAACCACGCAGAACCTGACATAAAAGGTGTCTATGTCATGTAGTTTTAAGGGATTGTTGTTATCAACTTTTTAGGTAATAAAAGTTAAATGTTTATTTAAAGGGGAGGTGATTAATGAATATATAAACTGTAGGTGTGGCACACTTAAATTAGTAATTTAGGGGGGGAACTATTGTTTTGCTTAAATATTCGCATGAAATTAGAACACGTGAAAGGATGAAATAAGAATACGTGATGAAATTGCAAATATGACAGATAAAAGTACCAAAGGACAATAGTTATGAAGAGATGAGATTAATTATGATTTAAATCAGCATTTTGAACAATATAATAAATAAAAGCATCGTTAAGATAGGAAGTTGAATGTAAAAGATGAATACGTAACTATGATCCTATCTGTATGTAAATGTGGAAATCCTGAATTATGCTGTTCTAAAAAAGAGGCTTTTTTAAAAAATGTGGAAAACTGTAATAAAACTTGTTTAAAAAAAAAAAGTGCCCAGAGATGCAAATTTGAAAACAACGGAGAAAATGTTTGAAGGATAAAGAAGGCTGAACCTCATGGAAGGAAAGAAGCAGCCATGGCTCGGTTGGCGGATGGCAGGAGGGCAATATATTTTGGAATAATACCGGATAAAAGAGTTTGCATTTCTGGCTTTTTTTTTTTTAAATGACTACAGTTTCTGGAGCTGTGGAGATCACACCCTTGCCTCAGCAGGCATGATGGGGTGGCACCCACCTTCAGAAGGCAGCCTGGCAATCAAACACCTGGGCCTTGTCCCCCCAAAAAAGTGACAGTGGCCAGGTAAAAAAAATGGAGAAAGCGGAAGGCTCAGATCTTCTCTGTCTTGCCTGTTCTTGGATTTCTCCTCCTCTCCAGGAGTTCAGATTGGAAGATGACCTGGGAGCATGCTAACAATCAGGCTGCTGCAATTAGGAGCATAATAGCCGCCTCCTTCAGAATTGGAGGAGAGGGAGGGGGAGAAAGGGACGCCCGAGACGGGCAGGAGACCGGGAACCGGATTGGCTGGGGAGGGGAGCGGGGGCAAAGGGATCCCATTCCATCTCCTTCCGTCCCACACAATTGGCTTTTCTTAAAGAGAGCCGGGTTTAATAACTGCACCCTTCATTGGCTGGTGCTAAGGGGCTTTCAATGTGGCCCTGACTCAGATGTAAGCATTCACACAAACGCCCCATCGGCTACCTTTGGTTCAAATACCAAAGCAACTTGCAAAACTTCAGCAAACCAGGTATGTTTAAAAGGCAAAAGGGCCCAGCGGAGATCATACTACCTTAGACTTCTCAGGAAACAACATCTCAATGAAAGACTGCTGGTGACCTTCTACCGCTACACCATAGAGAGTATCTTAACTTATTGCACCTCTGTATGGTTTGCCAATTGCATAGTGGCAGATAGGACAGCAGTCCAGAGGGTGAATGTCATTGCCCAGAGAATCATTGGATGTCCTCTCCCCTCTTTGGAAGAGCTTTAGAGCTCCCGCTGCCTTAAGAAAGTTCAAAACATCCTCAAAGATCCATCTCATCCTAGGCACCCTTTTTTTTTGAACTATGGAAAATTCTGGGGTGCCACACTAGGCAGCCCCTGTCAAGAGCTCTTCCACCCACACCCCTACCAAAGTGTAGGAGGAGGCAAGAGGCGGATCTGGCCATTCTAAGGGGCCATTCATTTAGCCAAGCAGGCAAAATCGCCAGGGGCGGTTTTGGCCATCAAGGGACTGAGAGAACGCGGCGGACTGACTTACTTTGGAACTGGCACGCGAATCAAGAGCCCATCCGCTTCCGGGTTGAGATTCATCCCGCTCTGTTGGATAGCCTTAACGGCCGCAGCTGTGCTCTGCAACCACGCGGCAAGATGTTTAAAAAAAAAAAATGGCAGGGGGGGGGGGGGGATTAGCAAATAATTATTACCAGACACCAGGACTCCCCATCAGCGGAGAGCAATCCATCTTGACAGAACATGGAAACATTTAGTTTGCTTACCGGCGAGATCAGGAAGTTACATCGGCCCCTTTGATCAAAACTGAACTGCAATTCTGCAGGGAGCCTCCCCCCCTCCCCAGCCCCTTTCCTCCTGCCCCAGCCCCCCTCCCCAGCCCAGGATCGAAGATATTGGTGAAGAGGTTTCAGAAGGGGAGGGATGGGGGAAAAGAAGGAGACTGACTAAGCGAGCGAGGGAAGAAGGAAGCAGAAAGGAAGATGGAAACCATCTTGACAGTTTGAGGCAACGCAGATAGCAAAAGAGGCAGCAAATCCTCCCGGGGGCTCCGGACTCCTGCAAGATGTAGGAGGAAAAGCCGATGAAGGATTCCAGGATGGGCCTTTGGCTGCCAAAGCCCTCACGTGGTCCTGCTTGGTGCTTACAGGGAAGGCCTCAATCACGTTAACTCGTTCCACATTGCACCGGGCAAGTGTGAAAGTAAAAGGGATTAGCACCAGGCCTGTTCTTCACATCTCTGGATTTTCTGGCAGGCATTTGCTGGAAACCTTTCCTTCCCCCAGGCTCAAAGTTTGTGCCACACACAGCCCTTTGGCAGGCAACAGAGCGAGGACCGTGCAGATCCCCTGCATCTGAGGCGCCAAAGTTAGCTCATTTCTCTTAACCAAAAACACTCCGTTTGTGTTCTCTTAGGGAGTTAGGAGAGGAGTGACAAAGGAGCAACCCAACTCAAACTCCCGGTCCTTGGAAAGCTTCCCTGCTCCGTTCGGGTCTGTTAACCCTCTTCCTCCAAAGCAAATGTGGCTGCATGGTTTGGTTCTGCAAAAGCTCTGATGTCACTCACAGCTTATGCAAGTGATATCGAAGTGTGGAAGCCAAAAAAATAAAAGGATCTCTGCTCCTGAGGAGCTTCCGGTCTGAGCCACAGCAGACACAAAGGCAGGGGCCGCAAGTCATCCTGGCAGCGACAACCGGGCAGGAAGCCAAAGAGGGAACAGTAGCATTTTCCACACCCAGGGGGGCTCCTGGGATCAGGAGATTTGGATCTGCCAAGCGGGATGGAACAAGAAATCTACTCACTTCTGGAAAGCTGCTCATGTTAACCACAAGGAGCTGCGCAGAATGCTGGGAGATTTGTGCAAGCTGGTTTAACGGAAATTTCCCATCCTTGGTGGCAACGATGATCGAATCAAGAGCCCCTGAAATGAGAAATACAACGGTAGCGAAACCCTTTGCGATTCTGGCTCGGGTATTATCAGTCCTCCTCTCTTTATAATTATAGTTTGCTGCTCTTATTGCATTTTATTACATTTATCCGTCCAAGCTTTCATCATATAGCTTTGGGATCGACCTGGAAAGCTCCCGATATGGGGCTGCTTCTAAAAAAATATACTGGCATCAAAACATCTTCAAAATAGGGTGTATTGCAAGTGTCTGGCTTCTGAATTCAAATCCACCAGGATGTTTCTATTCCCTGCTTCTTTCAGGCAGGAGGCAGGAGGCAATGTTCTCTTTCATTACATCCTGAACCTTCAAGGGATCGAGTGCAGTGGTCGCCAACCAGTGGGGACCACTGATGGTCCGTGAGAAAATTTTGGTGGTCCGCAGAGAAATGTCACCACCCCCCAAAGCAGTTAATCCAGGCTGCGCGGGAACACAAGGCTTGTGGCGCTTGCATTGTGAACAACAAAAGGTAGTGAGGGGAGGGGGGGAAAGGGCGGAGGGGGGAACTTGCCCCACTCGTCCCACGCGCCTGGCCTGGCCACCAGGCTGCTTCTTTCTGCTTCTTTCTTCTTCTGCTTTTGGCTGCACGCAAGGAAAGCAGCAAAAGTCTTTCTTTCCCTCCCCCAAACTCCACCCGAAATGAGTCTTTGGGACCTTACAAGGCCTCCTGCTCCAGCACGACAAGTTTCACAAAAATTCATTTCTGGCGGAGTTTGGGAGAGAGAAAGACTTCTGCTGCTTCTGCTGCTTTCCTTGCATGAAGCCAAAAGTCTCTCTCTCTCTCTCTCTCCCTCCCTGAGAACAGAACTGGAGTCGGTATCCTGCGATCCCAAATAAAAAATGATCGATCAGTAGGAAAACAGGGTGGGGAATTTTCCTGCAAACTTTTTTGGGGATATTCCCAGGGTTTCTGGTCCGCGGGATTTAAAATCGTGATTTTGGTGGTCCCTGAGGTCCAAAAGGTTGGTGACTCCTGATCTAGTGGATCAGGCCCCCCCAAAAAGCGCGGAGTTTTAAACAGCAGAATGTGCTGTGGGCAAGAAAATGACATTATGAGTTGGAGCAGCACCCCAAAAACTGCAGAGAGAAATCCCTCACCTGGGTTTGTCCTGATGCTCAAAGTTTTGTTGAAATTTTCCTGTAGGGTTTTGACCACCAAGTTCATTTCTTCGTTTAACTCTTCTAGGCTGATGATGTCCTCTACCAAGGAAGTGTTGATGTTCACACGGGCCTGACTTTTCCCTTTAGCTGCGGAGAGCAGAGCCAAGTTAGTTTGATTACCCAGGACTTCTTTGGGGCTTGCTTCAGGAGCACTCTTGAAATAGGGCCGTGTGTTCCACGTTGTGACCTCTGCTAACCCCAACCAACCCTCTGTCATTAGAAAAGATGAAACATCTTGAGCTTTATTTGATTAGGCACATTATTACTGAGGCAAGGATAGCATTTGCCCAGAACTGGAAAGAGATAGTTATACCAAGTGAAGAAGAAGTAATATACAAAATCTTGCTATGCACTGAAATGGACAAGTTAACTCTAGAAATGAAAAACAAAGATGAATCGGCATACTACGCAATTTGGGATAAATTCTATCATGGATGGGAGCGAAGGTCTTAAGTTGGGAAAGGAGCTGTTGAAAGAGTAAATGATTGGATGAAATGAAGACGAATGATGTTAGAAATGTAATATATGAATGAAACGTATATGTGTATATAGTTGAATAATTGTTCATAGAGAAAGATAGATAGATATGCGATATTGACCCCAAATCACGTCAAATCGACTTCACCATGTTCAATGTTTTTAATTGTTTTGTTTAATAAAAATTAAAAAAAAGAAAATATTAAGCATCTTACTTTCACTCTCTCATCCTGGACTCCAAGGCCCTAAAGGTTTTGGATTGTCTTTCAGGAGGGATATCTATGGAGATTCTCGTCCCAAAAGTGCTTTTCCAAAAGACAAATGGACTTTCTTGTGTGGTTTTTTTTTCCCTTTCCCTAGAAAATGTTTTGCTCCTCATCCAAGGAGAACTGAAGAAGCTCCTTGGATGAGAGGCGAAATGTTTTCAAGGAGAAAGAAAACAAGAAAGCCCAGTTGCCTTTGGGGAAAGGGCCTTTTGGACTTTGAGGAGGGTGCATTTCAGCCCCTGGATCCAACTGTCCTCCCTTTGATATACCACAGCGACTTATTGGAAGTAATACGAATGTCAGTGATGGGATTTATAGCTTATAGGATCGTGAATAGAAGCAATTTTAGTCTTTGTAGGTTTTCCCTCTATTGATGGCGAGCCTCCCAGAGAGGCAGGACAGGGAGAAATGGAAGTGGTGGTCTCAAGGGGCCCTTCCGCCTCCTTGGCCTTTGACACCCACAGCTTTCCTCACCTTTGGCCTTCTTCGTGGCCAGGGTCCTGACTTGTGGGGTCTCGAGGGCCCGGCCCTCCCGGAAGCCCAGCAGCAGGAAGGG